ATTTCAAATAAACAGATTCCATCATATAAAGTATCAACATCGTTGATTATTTCAAATGAACAGATACCATCAAATGGAATAATAAATACACCTTTACATGATAAAAATCAATGGTATGAATCGAACACTATCACAGAACCCAAACACAATGGAATAAATCCTACTCAATCAGTACCAATATTGTATGATGCTCACAAAAATATTACAACTCATCGAAAGAAATCACGAAAACATCAGAAACATAAACATGTTGTAAATACACAATCGTTACAAAAGCCATACTCGACTTCTCAACGTTTCGAACTTGCTAATAAAAATCAACAATCACAGTCTCTTTCTTCAATCAATCATTATCGTTATAGTTTAAGAGACCAATCCGATGTCATCTCTAACGAAGAACTAACTGATCTGCTGAATGGACTTACACCTGTACTGAAAAATTCTCATAATAATGATCAACAAGAGTGGTCCAACCTTATCGAAATTCTCGATGCACTTATTTGTGTTCGTCCATCAATATTAACATCAGCTTCACAGAATGAGTTTTTTTCTGTACTTCAAAAATCATTTATTGATATACTCCGTCAATGGCGTTATCTCTCATATCTATCAGATCAAAAATATTTTATATTTCGTTCAATCACTAAATTAATAAGTATACTAATCAATAATATTCAAAACATTAATCAGCTTCCATCATGGTTATCCGATTCTATCCTATTGGAGACAATTGCTAATTGTCTTACAGACATAGCCATTTCAGGAAAGTTTCTCGACGATAAAAATAATCGTTCATTAAAAACTTTCACATATTTAATTCAAGCATATACTGCTTATCAACAACATTTACACAATAAGAAGCATTCAAATACAGATACATTTGTGCTATTAATTGATTCTATTGTACAATGTCTTGCTTCATCTCATTATGTTAATACTTTTGCAAATATGCCACAAGAAGGAAAATCAATGACAACTATTGAAGATTTTTTCCTTCTTAAATGTCCATCATTTCTCACTTCGTACAATGGTAACGACTTATACTAGTTTTCTATATACACAAAAAAGAATAAATTTTTTCTTTAATTCTATTCATAGGCTCTCGTCTCGAACAAACTATGGAAAGTCTACTTTCACTTATGTTACCACAATATATGACATTACTAAATAAGATTGTTCCTTCAGCACACAATTGGAACCAATCAACAACTGAAGCAGTCGATCAATTATTACAAATAATCAATCATGGAGCGCATGAATTTCAAATAAATGCAAAACTTGTTAGTGGACATTTACCATTAATTGATCATGTATTGAAATTAGTCAATGAACCAATATTTTATAATAATCTACAAGAAACATTATCGAATCCAGAAACAAATTTTATTAATACAGCTATTAGTTTTCTTGTAAATATGATCCATGAACCAGCCATACTTGCTCAAATAAAAGAATCTCAAGTAACACCTGTATTTCTTCGTTTAATATCATGTAAATATGAACCATTAGTACTCAATGTTTATACTCTTCTCGCATACACAACATATGAAGAAGATATTAAAGCAATGCATAATCCTGGTCGATTACTTGCTGCAATTATTCAATCATTAAAAGCAACACTCAATCGAAAACCTGAAAAGAGAAGTCAAATAGAACAGTTACTTGAAACTTTGAAAGGTAAGAAACCTTGTTTTTTTTTTCAATGATACTTCTTTTCATTCATACTTTATCAGTAGACTAAACTAAACTAGTTGAAATTTTCTAAAAAAAAAACAAAATTTTTTTTTTGTCAGGTCTTGTTCAACATGATCAAATAAAAGATGAAATTGTAAAACAAAATGTACTTCCATATCTTCTTGAGTGCACGAATCAATTAACAAAAAAAGCATTGGCATTAATATTTGAAATTTTATGGAGTTTAACATTCTTCGACGAAATTGCTCGGATTTTACGTGCTGATTCGAATTTTCTTGACAAGATTCAGACTATATCGAAGAACCAAAAACTTGAACCATTGAAAAAAGCAGTTGATGGACTTGTTTGGAAACTCATACAAGGTATTTTATACTTATTTTTAATATCAATATTAGTGTAAATATATTCATGTGTATAAATTTCGTAGAACCCATATTCCTAGAAAATGTTGCGAAACAAGAAGAAGAAAAGAAAGCAGACGTGAGGAAATTAATGGCAGAAACAGAAGCACTCAACGGAACAGATAAAAAAAAACAAGTTACAGCAACAAAACAGCACAGTGCAACATCTAGTGAACGTTCATATCAATATGATATTATGATCTCATATTGTCATGCTGATAAAGAACTAACTTATAAAATACATCAATATCTTGTTGATCAAGGTTTTAAAATATGGATTGATTTGAATAATATGTATGGACCAGGTAAAATACTGATAAATAGACTGAATAAATTAGTTTTCAATTCCTTGTTTTTTTTAGCAATGAACGCTATGGCTGATGCGGTTGAAAATTCAGAATTTATCATTCTGTGTATGTCAGATTCGTATAAACAGAGTACATTTTGTCAAGCTGAAGCTGAATATGCATTTAAATGTAAGCGACGTCTTCTTCCATTAATAGTACGAGAAGGATATAGACCAGATGGTTGGTTA